AAAAATGTAATTGTCAATTCTAATTGGGTTTGTTTGGGATATTCTATTTAATTTATTTTTAGCTTTTGTATTATTTGTTTCTTTTAATGTAGTACGCCGCCCTGAGTCCTTGGGAGAAGGGTGGCATATAAATCTAATAAACCTAAACCTAAAATAATATCATGCATGAGTAGGATTCACCCAATATTTGTCTGGGCTAATATTTCTCAAACTATTAGGGAAGCCTCCTTGTGAGGCACAATTGTTAGGAGAAATGCCAAATCTTCACTGATTATTGCTTTCCCCAGGTTTCATGTTTGCCTTGACTTGGCCAGGAGGCAAAATGTTGGCTGGTGCTTTCCCCCAGTAACCCAATCAATGTAACACCAGTGCTTTTGTTCTGTAAGAGCTAGAAATGGAGAGACATTTTGCCTTTGATCAAATCAAAACATACGCTTAGGCATTCAGTGCTTCCACTCTGGCAGACAGCACACTGCTACTGCTCAAGACATTCTCATGCATTTTTCTAAATTATATCCCTGCCTTTCATGTGCTTCCGGTATGGGGCTCAGAATTATGTCATTTAGTCCCTTCCTGCTTTTTGAATATTCCAAAATTTTAATCTTTATAAAGATGCACAAATACATCCTTTATTTATTTTTATTTTTGCAAAAAAAAAAAATCTAACAATACCAAAATAACAAACCACCCAAGAGTTTAGATAACATTGCATGTTGCGTTGCATTGCATCTTTGCATTCTGTCAGTTCAGAATAGTTTTGTATCCTTCATTTAAGATTCTGTCAATGCAGAATGTTATCCTCTACTTAGGAAATGCAAAAGATGAACATTGTTACTGAAAGAAAGAATCTTTAACTATTTCTTTAAAAAATGTTCAGCAGAAGACTAAAGGAACTGTAGAATTAATTCTAAATCCTGAAATGATTCAAGGGAATGTGCTCCATCTTTATCTCATATTGTTTCACTATTTTGTGTGTGTGTGAAATGCTTTTTAAAAAGTCAGAAGAGGTAACCAGGTTGGTCATCGTGTTATTTTTCTCCTTTCTGACCATCTCATGAACTAAAGACTTTGGTCTGATTAAGTCCTACAGTTTGCTGAAGACGTTATTAATAGGGAAAGATAAACAGATATGGAACTGATGGAACCAGACTCAAATACATCTTTGGGCTTGATAAAAGAAACTCCATCTACTTCTGCATTTATTTCTTATTTCTACTTCAATCAGACAGTCCTCAAAATATGCAAGAGATAGAAATCAGGAGATGGTGAAATGGTGAATTACCCCAAAGACCACCAAGTCCCTTCTCTTCAGTTAGAGGTGAATTGTTGTTGTGAAAATATTTCTTCTTTAATGCCTACTACATAAGCTGGAGCATGCATCTCTGTGGGGTTATGCTCTTTCTCATTTATCTGCTGTCCCAGTGTCCAGATCAGATATCTTCATTGCTCTACCCCCACTGCCCTCCTCTCGGTTTTCAGAGACAGTCCGTCTCCACTTACGACCCTCTCCCTTTTCTGTCCTATCAGCAAGGCACTACATAGCCAACTGATAAATGAGAACAGGAATGGTTTGATAGCCATGGTGAATTTGGAAGCAATCTTGTGGTGGTGAAAATTAGGGGACATGCTTCTCAAATGTCGCTCAAAGTAACAGCATGACCTTTACTTGAGTACCAGCACTCTCTGCTACCTTGACTTCTTTTAGAAATGCTGCCACTGTTCACATTTCTTTTGAGGCCAATTTAGTGTAGTGGTTATGGTGCTAGCCTAGAAATCAGAAAGTGATGAGTTCTAGGCCTCCCTTGGCCATAAAAACTGGCCAGCAGCCGGGCCAGGCATTCCTTCTCAGTCCAAGGCACCTAATCGGGTTGTTCTTCTGGGGAAATATGAGCAAGCGTATTAAGTATGTTCATTGAGGCAAATTATATATAGATAGATAGATAGATAGATAGATAGATAGATAGATAGATAGATAGATAGATAGATAGAT